TCCTCAGCTGCTATGTCTCTCTAAGCCACTGCCTCTACCATGTCTCTGCTGTCGTCTAGGATCTCATGTTCCACTCATGGTCTTCCTTCTAAGTGGTACTGGGATCCTCTGGTGCTGAAACGAAAGATGAACTACTCCCCCTTTTCAGTTATACATCTTCTTTGTCTCCATAAGCCAACAGGTAGGCTTTTACGACACAAATATGTTTTCTCTTCTCTCTATAAACATTCTCTTGAACCTCAACAGAAATTCTTTACTTTCCTCACTTACAAGAATTGCTGATCTGATCCTATATGGGAAACCCTGACCTTCTTTACTCTTTGGAAATATTATCCAGATCAGGAAGTCCTGATATAACTCTCTCTAACAACTCTTACCCAGATCTTGTTTCAGAAGCCCTACCTTCAACCTATAGAAGCAGTGCTGTCATAACCAACAGAAAAAAACCCTAACTTGAGTCTCTAGAGGAAACAGTGTCCTGTACAGGATCATTGCATAGGACTACCTCCCATGATTCCCAGCAGGAACCTGTGTCCTGAGCTGGTACAGAAAACCTTGCCTTTGCACTCAACAGAAACCTTTGATCAGAATCCTAGCAACCGAAGAAAGAAACCAACACAGAAACACCTACACTGTATAGAAACCTCTGTCTAAAACTTGTTGTTGTTATTGCTAAGTGCCGTTGAGTCGGTTCTGACTCATAGCGACCATGTACAGAGTTTCTGAGGAGTAGCTGGTGAGCCTGAACTGCCGACCTTGCGTTTCAAACTGACCTTGTAGTCCAGTGCATTGGTAAACCTGTAATATGAATCACCATGAACACCTGTCCTGTAGTTGTACAAGAACCCCTGACGTAGCCCTCTGGTAATCCAGCTCTGATACTGTACAGGAATATCTGTCCTGAGTATGTTGTGATCATCTGGCCTATCTACAGAAAACCACTCTCCTGGACTGTAAAGGACACGCGAATCTTAACCTGTATAGGAAAAACTGCCCTTACACTCATCTCTTTCACTCAACAATGCCTCTCTCTAAACTCATAGTTTCCTATAAACCTGCCTTACCAAGTAACAGAATCATTCTCCTGACCCCACACAGGAAACATTACCTTGACTCTATACAGAAACCCCTGCCCCTACATAGTATAAGAATCCCTGTCTCAATATTTTTAAGATAATTCTCTCTTGCAGCACTGTCCAAGAGAAATATATGAGTCACATATGTAATTAAACATTTTCATGTAGCCACATTGTTGTTAAGTGCCATTGAATCATTTCTAACCCATAGTGACCCTGTATAGGGTTTACGAGGAGCAGCTGCTGAGTTGGAACCACCAACCTTGCAGTTCAAACCGGCTTTGCAGTCTGGCGCAACATTAGAAGAGTAAAAACAGGTGAAATGAACTTAACATATGTACTTTAAATATACCCAAACATCATCGTTTCAACATGTAATTTTTTTTCCATATGACTTTTCAAAATGTAGTATTTTACACTTACAGTACATCTCAGTTTGGAATAGCCGCATTTCAAGTGTTCAGTGGTGGTGGTGATGGTGATGGTGCGCTGTGGAGCTGGTTTCAACTCATAGCAACCCTGCATAGGGTTTCCAAGGCTGTAAATCTTTACGGGAGCAGGAAGCCTCATCTTTATCCTGCAGAACAGCGGGTAGTTTTGAACTACTGACCTTGAGGTTAGCAGCCCGACTCATAACCACTATGTTACCAGAGCTCCTTAAGCGTTCAATAGGCACATGTAACTAACGAATGGCTAACATTGGATACCATCGTTCTATGGAGTCAATAGAATCCTTTCTGTAGCAGACACCTGTTCCTTATAGGCACCTGTTCCTTATCTCTGAGCTCATTCTATCTTTTTCAATCTCCTTTGTGGTTGTTGTTGTTGTTAGGTGCCATCGAGTCGGTACCGACCCATAGTGACCTTATGCACAGCAGAACGAAACACTGCCTGATCCTGGGTCAACCTCACTACTGTTGCCATGCTTGAGTCCATCAATGCTGCCACTTGGCCAATCCATCTCGTTGGGGGTCTTCCTCTTTTTCTCTGACCCTCCACCTTCCCAAACATGTTGTGGTTAGAGATGGATATATGACAGAGTTCTGGCCAATAGAGTGTGAGAAGAAGTGGTATGCACCATTTCCAGGTCTGGTCATAAAACCCTTCCCGGCAATCCTCCATTCTCTTTTCCCCTCCATCTATCTGGCACTGTAGGATAAGCACTGGACTGCTAATCGAAAAGCTTTCTTGGAAACCCTATACAGGGTTGCTATGAGTCAGAACTGACTTGACAGCACTTAACAACAACATCAGCTGAGTAGCAAGAACTCTGAGACGGTAAAGGAGAGCAAAGTTCTCAAATGGAAGCTTCCTTGGCCCATGAATGCAGGTTGGATTTTATGTGAGCAACAAATAAAAAAATTATTTAAGGTCCCAGAAATTCTGGGTTTGCTTGTTACAGCAGCTAGCAAATAATTTACCCTAATTACTAACAATTTCTTGACCTGAATCTGGACACAAACACCTGTTCTTACTGTCTATACCAGCTCTGAATCTGTATGGAAATCTCTATCCTGACCCTGTACTGGACCTCCTGATCTTTTTGTAGAAACCTGTCATAATGCAGTCTAAGAAGCCGCCCCACCCTGAACCTGTACAGGAACTCCTAGTTTAGAGCTCACTAGTAATGCCTCTTATTTTGTATAGAATCTCCTGAACATCACTACTAAAACTATAGGAAAACCTCTGTGCTCTTCCTGTCCAGGAAGATCTGCTTGATGCAGCAGAAAAACATCAGAAGTGAACTGGTCCTGTCAATGAACCCCTGTCCTCACACCTCACACAAAGGGATACCTCTCCTCATGCAACATAGAACCTTTGCCCTCATCCTATGACAGAATCCCAGTCAGGTAAAGAAAACCAAGGACTGACACTCTACAGCAGGACTGACAGACTATAGATTGCAGGCAATGACAGCTTGTTGCCCGTATTTTCGTTTTTAAGGTTTGCAAAAGAATAGAAAAATACATCAAGGAGAACTTATGTGGTCTGCAAAAGTCTAAAATCTGCTTCTTAATAGAAAACAATTGCCAACCTCTGCTCTACAGGAACCTCCCTTCTGACTGTACAGAAAATTGGGCCTTGACCTTTGCCAAGACTCCCTGCTCTATTATTTGTCAGCATCATAATGCCCTAGTGTATATCATTGTATATTTATTTTCTTTGGTGTATGTGGAAGTTTAAAGGTTTTAAGTCTGTGACCCATTTCCACTGGTACAAAGAACATGTTTACATAGGAAAAGAGTGGAAGGGACGAAGAGGCTGGAAGTGGGATTTATCAAGAGGGTCAGAAGGCTCGGCTATTGGGCACTGGGGTTGTCAATCTGTTTGTTAGTCAGCGAAGCTGAACCCCATACCACTTAGCTTATCTCTCTAGCCCCAGCCTGCAGCCCAGTAGGAAATGGTGGAGAATGAGAGGGAGATTAGGAGGACAAACCGGTCTCCTGCAGAGCTGATATTTAGACAGGGGTGGGAGAGGGGGCATAGGAACAACTCCCCCTGCCCTGCAGACATACACACTTTCTCTTACAGCTTGGGAGCAGAGGTTACTCAGTGGAAGGGGCAGACAGGGAGAGCTGCTAACTATAAAAAACTCTTCTAGTCCTTTCTAGCTGGGAGCACTATTAGTATCACAATTTTCCATAGGAGGAAACTGAAGCACAGAGATGTTCAGTAATTTGCCCAGGGTCACATGGTCAAGCCCGTAACCTCAGTTTCCTTATCTACAAAGTAGCGTTAATGGGAACTACCTCTTTAGAGTTGCGGCTAGCAATGCCAGACATATAATACTTGCTAGCATTACCATTACTTACCCCTACTAAAAATTCCTCTGTTCCACCACCTATTTTCACAGAATTTTAATAGCTAACAATTGTGCTAACGACTGTGAGCCTGGCACAGGACTGGGCAGTGTTTTATTGTTGTACAAAGGATCCCTTTAAGATGGAACTAAATAAACAGCACCTAACAGCAAGATGTCCTGGTGTGGCGCTGCGGGCTAATGTGCTGGAGTGCAAAGTCGGTTTGAACTGTTTTTGGCGGTTCAAACTCACAAGCTGCTCCTCAGAAACTCTATACGGCACTTAACAGCAACAATATGTGGTTGTGTGCCTCGTGTACGCCACTTTAGTGAATGTTAACTCAGAAACTTTCCGTAGCACTTATAATCATCATTCTCTTTTTGGCACCCACCAGCCATTGTTCAGTTTTAACTTCACTCCAGGCCCAGTACACAGCCCGCCTATGCTACGTCATCAAAGAGCGCCAGGCGGGAAGCGGCGGGAAGTGAGAACGCATCATTTCGAAACTCCCTCCCTTCCTTGCTCGCTATCTTGAATCATCGCAGGGCACAATTGGCGCAGGTCCGATGGGTTCTTAAGGTGACTGGGTAGCGGCAGAGGGACGATGGCCACAGCAGGCAGGACAGCAGCGGCGGTAGTTGGGGGAGGAGCGGGCTTGAGCCTGGTACTGAACCACCATGCCTACCTCAGCCAGGCGCAAAGCAAACCTTGTAGCTGCTGACGCACTGTTTTTTTGAGCGCGAGGGGGCGTGGCCAGCGCGAGGGGCGTGATCCTGGTTGTGGCGCTGAGGGAGCTGCTGTGTGGGCGGTATCTCGACTGGCGGTTGAAAGAACCGGCCCTATGGAAAGGAGGAGCCCAGGAGCTCGCGACCGAACAGGTCGCCGCAATTTGGGCGGGGTGAGCAGTGGGCGGGTTTCGAGGAAGGGGCCGCACCCAGTGAGTAGAACCGAAAGGATTGGTCGGCGTCGACGGCGGAGGCGAAAAGGAGGGGGCCTGAGGGTGGCGGGAGGCTGACTAAATGGGGTTGGCTCGACGTTAAGCTGAGGGTATGGGCGGTGGGTAGGTTCTGAAAGGGGCAGTCCCCTGAGCGGGAGGGACTTAGTGAAACGTTAGAGGCAGGATCTCGCAAAGTGGAAGGTATCGCCCCTATAAGGGGTGGAGTTAGGTGAATCTGTGTGGAGTCTGGGTAGGAACTGGGAAAGGGTGGGCGGTTAGGCTGACTGACAGACCGGAAAGGGCAGGTTTTTGAAGGGGTGGTGTCTGGGTAAGATTTAAGGACTGAAAGGGTTTGAGAATGAGGTTAGGTGGAGTGGAAGGGTGGGGATTAGCTGGAAAGGGCAGACCCTAGAACGGACTGAGTCAGAGTTAATGGCTCTGGGAATGGGCAAGGACTTGAAAGAGTAAAGAGAATAGTGTTAAAAGGAGTCTAGTGGAAAGGTGAAAGGGACACCCCTGTGAAGGGAGAGTGAGAGATGGAGTTTAGAACACGGTGGGGAATAGGATGGTGGGGTCGCTTTGAGTCAGAACCGACTTGAGGGCACTTAAGAACAACAACTATAGGGGGTGGACCTGGGTAGGGGAGGGATATGGGGTCCTCAGGCCACTCACCCCCACTTCTTATAGTCACCTCTACGTCTTCCCCAGGACCGTGTCAGGGGCTCAGTTCCCCCGACCATGACGTCCACTGGTCAGGATGCCACCACCACCAGACAGCGAAGGAGTAGACACAACCCCCACTCGCCCCCCCACAACTCCAGCATCACCTCGGTGAGGTCCCAGACCTGCCCATGAGAAGGGGGAGGAGAGCAGCTGGCCGTCCCCTGAACTCTGACCCTTCTCTCTGGTTACAGAAGCGAGGCAATAAGAAAGGTGCCATACCCCGCTCCAGCCCGAGTCTGGCAGAGGTAAAGAAGAAAGGCAGAATGAAGAAGCTCAGAGAAGCAGCAGAACAGGACCTAATCATGGGACTGCAAAAGCTGGTGAGAGGTGCCCGGCCTGTGTTTAGCCTCCTGTGACAACCTAAAGCCTAAGAAAGACCCTGAGGTTCCCCATGCTGAACACTTTGAGATTTTCACTCTGAATTAGGCTCTAATTGGATCTGTTTCCCTGTTTTTTCTCTGCAGGATCTGAACCTTGAGGCCAATGCACTGTCTGGCACAGGTTTGGTGTTTGATGAGAAGCTCAATGAATTCCACTGCCTCTGGGATGACAGGTGAGACTGGGTCCTCTAAGTGGTCCCCCCAAACACACTAGCAAAAAGGAATTCCTTCTTAGGGCAGCCTGGAAACTGGAAGCAGATGATTTAGGGAGATGGGACTTAGACTTGAAAGAGTTCTTTTTAGCAATACTGTGTGCCAGGTGGAGTTTCTGGGTGGGTGTACACAGTTAAGCTTGGTTGCTAACTTAGGTTAGAGATGTGAATCCACAGAGGTTCCTGGGAAGAAAGTTCTGGTGATCTACATAGGAAAGCCAGTCATTGAAAACCCTATGGAACACAATTCTACTCCAAAACACATGGGGTCGCCATGAGTTGTAACTGACTAAATGTCAACTGGTAACTAGTACCAGAAGTGTACTAAGAGTTGATAATAAACACATGGACAAGACAAGCACAGTCCCCTCTCAGGGTTCTGACAGCAGACTAGCAGAGCTGATCATTAAAGAAACAACAGCAATATGAAATATTTAATGAAAGTAGTCTTAAGACCAGGGGGTTCAGGAGTGTTTAATAGAGGATTCTAAGCTAGCATCCAAGGTTCCTGGAAAGCTTCTCTGAGGCAAAGACATTTGTGCTGAAACTGAAGAAGTATATCCCTCGATGAATCTACATTCACACTTATAATCAATCAGTAAATCCTTATTGGCTCTAGGTTCACAATATATATAGCAAGTATCTGACCTCTTCTCACCAGCTCTACTGCCACCATGGTCATCCTTTACCTAGGCTTTTCCAGAGGCCTCCTTACTAGTCCTGCTGCTTCTTCCCTTACAATCTCTTTTTCACAAAGCAGTTATCAAAATGTATCTCATATGCCATTCTCTGTATGCCATTGAGTCAGTTCTGACTCATACTGACCCTGTACAGGGTTTCCGAGGCTGTACAGTTTTTTGGAAGTAGAAAGCCTTATCCTTCTCCCACAGAGCAGCTAATTCTTCAGAAGTAGATCATTGCCCTCAAGGTAAAGTTCAACTTCTTCATCAAGCCTTATCCTCTCCCACAGAGCAGCTAATTCTTCAGAAGTAGACCATTGCCCTCAAGGTAAAGTTCAACTTCTTCATCCTGGCCTCTCATATTCCTCCTGGCTTGGTACCACATCATGTTTGTAATCTCATCAGCCACCACCCTGCCCCTCATTTTTGCTATTCTTAAAAGTGCCAGGTATCTTTTTGCCTTAGGTCTTAACTATGGCTAATCCCCTCTTCAGAGATTCCTTTCTGCTTTCTTCTCTCCCAGCTAATGTTTATTAATCATTCACCTTTCAACAAGATTTTCTCAGAGAGGGCTTTTCCTGGTCACAACCCTACCCCATGGAGTCTTGGTGTGGCGCTGTAGAATAAGTACTTGATTACAACATTGTTTTGAACGGCAAGGTCGATGGTTCAAACTCACCAGCTGCTCCTCAGAAACTTTATAGGGTCGTTATGGGTTGGAATCAACTCAACCACTTAACAACAATGACCCTGCCCCACTAGGTGCCCTGGTGGTGTAGTGGGTTATGTGTTGGACTGCTAACTACAAGGTCAGTAGTTTGAATTCACTAGCTGCTCTGTAGAAGAAGGATGAGGCTTTCTACTTCCATAAAAATTCACAGCCTTGGAAACCCTGAACAGGGTCAGTATGAGTCAGAACTGACTCAGTGGCATACAAACACCACCACCTACCCAACATCTGGTCGTAAAGACTTAGAGCCCATGTCATTGTTTTTAAATGATTTTATTTGTATATTTGTTTGCTAGTTGATTATCTTAATCTCCCCCATCTGAAGGTAAGATTCGTGATAGCAGAAGCTGTATGACTGTCATTTATTGAATAAATTTATAGCATCTGCTGAGGAGCAGTAAATATACCAGTAAACAAAATAAACAACCTTGTTTTATTGGAGATTGCATTTTAGAAGGGGAAAACAGTTAAAAAAAAAAAAAGTAAATTGTATGGAATGTTGGGAAGTTCTGTAGAGAAGAATAAAGTGGGAGGGAGAGTAATATAAAGTACAGTGCCGAGGATTCTTCAGTGTTGAATATAATGGTCAATGTTAAATAGTAAGAGGTGAAGGAAGTGATGGAATAAGCCACTCAGACAACTGGGAAAAGAATGTTCCAGGCAGGAGGAACAACTACAATAAAGTCTCAGAATACTTGGTTTGATTGGGGAACAGCAAGGACAATGTAGGCGAAGCAAAATGATTTAGGGGAAAGGTAGTAGGAGATGGGTTGAGAGGAGGACAGATTACGTAAGGCCTTCTGGATCACGGTTCTTTAGAACCACACGAAGGTTCTAAAGAAATGATTTGAGTTTTAATTGATGCCCCTGGCTGCTGTGGGGAGAAAGGACTGCTGGGGGAGCAAGGCAGAAGGAGGGCAGTCAGTGAGACTGCTGCACTAGCCCAGGTGAGAGATTATGGTAGCAATGAGGCTAGAGGGTCAGACTCTAAACGTATTTTGAGATCGGAACTAACAGGATTTAGTGTAGATTCTAACGTGTCTGACTTGAGCAGTTGAAGAAGGCTGAATGGGGGAGATGTGGCAGGAACAGAGGTGGTGCTCATCAGTGTCTGTAGACAGATAGATATGGAACCCTCATGGTGCAGTAAAGTGCATAGCTGCTTGCTAAAAGATTGGAGGTTCAAATCCATCAGCTGAATTGAGAGATAGAGATATGGTAGTTGATTTATGGGGCAGTTTTCTAACCCCCTCTCTACTACCCCTCCACTCAGCTTCTCTTTGTATATACACACACATATACATGTATATGGCTATACATGTCTTTCCAGCTTCCCTGAAAGCCCTGCGCGGCTCCATGCCATCAAGGAGCAGCTGACCAAGGAGGGCCTTCTGGATCGTTGTATCTCCTTTCCGGTGAGACCTGGGCAGAGGGCAGGAAACTGGAAAGACCTGGGCCTGGCTTGTGTCTTAGCTCTTTATTCCTTATGTCTCCACAGGCCCGGTTTGCCAAAAAGGAAGAGCTGAAGCTGGTTCACAGGTGAAGGCTTGGAAGCCTTATAGGGATGGGAGGAAGTTGCACTGGCCTGACCAGGGTGACTATTTTGGAAACAAATATGGGCTCTGTGGCCTTGGCCAAGTAGCTAAGCTTCTCTGAGTCTGTGTCATCACCTGTAACATGGGGGCTAATAAGCATGCCTTCCTCAGGAGGCTTCAGAATTTGCACAGAACTTACAAGAGTGCCTGACATGCCATCAATCCATGCTGTTAATTATAATCTGGTTGTATAAAGATGGTTGAGTACATGGATGGAGTTATCAGGACTGTGTCCACTGAGGGCTGCAGGAGCCCAGTAGAGGAGACCTGATGCCATGTTATTTCCAGGAAAGCTAGCTTGGCAGTTTGAGTATATGAGTTGAGCTGAGAGGAAAGACAGGGGCAGGTGAAGCAGTGTGGTCAAGACCTGCAAGTAAGATACACTCTGGCTAGATAAAAGCTCTAAAGGATATTACTGGAAATGAGGTGGGCTAGAGAAAGTGGGAATGTGTCTTATAGGTTGACAGTTGGGGGGCCTAATTTGACCCAGGGTCTGGTGTGGGACCCCAATCAGGCCCCAGCAAGGAGGCCAGCCCCTGAATTCCATCTCTTATCTGTTTTTCCAGTCTGGAATACATTAATCTGATGGAGAAGACCCAGCACATGACTGAGGCAGAACTCCACACCTTAGCAGACACCTATGACTCCGTTTATTTGCATCCAGTATGGCTGAGTACTGTGGGGGCAAAGTAGCAGCAATTCTGGGATCCCTCATCTCCATGCCCATACCACCCTAGGGCCCTCCTCCCTTCTGTTCCCCATGGGATCAGCTGAGTGGGCAGGCTGACTCTCTCCTTCACTCCCTCTTTGGCTTCCCACTGTCGCTGCAGAACTCATACAGCTGTGCTTGCCTGGCCTCGGGCTCTGTCCTCAGGCTCGTGGATGCGGTCTTGGGGGCGGAGGTCCGGAATGGCATGGCCATCATCAGGTAGGAACCTCTGCTGTTTAGCTTTTTTCCCTTTTTAAAAATTTTGTCTCTCAAATGTAAGATATGCTGGTATGGTTAATGAAGTCAAATGATACAAAAAGGCATACAAAAAAAAGTCTCACTCCACTCCTGTCCCCCAGGCACATGGTTCCTCTTGTAACCAGTGACTCATGTGTCTTCCCCAACCAGTTTGTACTTAAGGAATAAACACGATATCTCACTGATTCAAAGATGTATGTTTTTCCTATTCTTAACATTTTGAAATCCAGGTGACAGCATTTTCTGCTTTGTTGTTGGCATTTAAAGTTATGGTACATCTTCTAATTGTTGGCATCTCAGAGTTAATGAAATGCAGTCATTATATCCTTTCACCTCCTCCCCTTTTTTCAAACATGTGCGGTAGCACTTGACTGCTTTCCATACTTTGCACTTTTCACTTACCCATCCTGGAAAGCTTCGCTAAACCAAAAAACAAACAAACCCAGTGTCGTTGACTCCCAATTCATAGTGACCCGATAGAACAGATTGGAACTACCCCCATAGTGTTTCTAAGGCTGAGGACCTTTTCATTTTTTTCCATCATCAGTTGTTTTTTGGGTTTTTTTTTTTTTTTTTTAATGATACCAGATATCACTGGCCATTTATAAACATGTTATTTCACCCTCCCTTTCTGTTGTATAGATGGTGGACTAAATCCCCAGCAACAAAATGAATGGATATGAGGAAGGTTATCATTTAAGTGAACATGGGCAAATATTTTTTGGAGAGTTTTAGATTTGGGACAGTGAGGGTTCTAAGGTCCCAGCTACTAAGTTCCTAGAATATTTGTAAGCATCAGTATTTAGGGAGTTGGTAGTCCAGGATTAAAGAACGGGAGAAAATCTCTCTTAACTAAGAAAGGCTCCCCTACTCAACCATTTGTGACCTTCCCTATCTTCTCCAGACCTCCTGGACATCACGCTCAGCACAGTCTTATGGATGGGTATTGCATGTTCAACCATGTGGCCGTGGCTGCCAGATATGCTCAGCACAAGCATGATATTCACAGGTCAGCAGCATCAGGGCAGATGTGATGAGGTAGGGTAGCATGTATGAGCTCTTCCTCTAGATTCAAAACTATCCTCTTACACAGTGTCTTCTCTCTCTTGCTTAGAGTTCTTATCGTGGATTGGGATGTGCACCATGGTCAAGGAACTCAGTTCACCTTTGAGCAGGACCCCAGGTATACCCCAAGTCCAACTGCAGATGCTAGACTCCCAGCCACTATCCCTTAGCGGCCCAGCCAGAAGGGCACCATGAGGGAAGGAAAGACAAGGCATTCTTAGTATCTGTGCTAGCACTGTGTGTGTGTGTGTGTGTGTGTGTGTGTACACTATCTCTCGTGATACCATTTTATGTGGCAGGGACTGTTGAGTTCCCTATTTTCCAGATGAGGAAATTGAGGCTAACAAGAAGCTGCACATAGAGAAAGTGGTAGAGACAGGACTTGAGCCCACAAATGTTTGGGTATCTTATTCATTGACACTGGAGTGAACCTTACATTACAACTTTATTGTTTCAGACTATGACAATATTATAAAAATATGTGTTGAAAAAAGTAATACAAAAATATCTAAAAAGTGCACCTATGAGTCTCCTATAATTTCTTTCCACTCAAAAATAGCTTGACAATATGGGTTATATATATTATTCTTAAAAATTTTTTCCTATAGATGTATGAATATTCATTAATATCATTATTATTGTCAACACACTGCTTAATGATATAATCCTGTACATGCTCTTCAACAACTTACTCTTTTCATTTAAAACTACCCCCTGGTGTGACATTGTGGGATAAAGCTCTGAACTGAAATGTCAGTTTGAACCACAATGTCGGCAGTTGAAACTCACTAGCTTCTCCTTGGAAACCCTATACAGGGTCGCTGTGAGTTGGAACTGACTCAGTGGCACTTAACAACAACAACATTCTTTTTATAAAAGTTGTACAACACTCTATTTTATGACTGTAGCTCTATTTTACTCCTGGACATTTAAGATGCTCCTCAGTTGTTTTATTAGACAAGTTCATAGTGAACATCAATTCAAAATATCATAAGTCTTCATTAAAAAAAAGCATTTCAACATCTATCTTGAAGTACAACACTGTGATAGGATACTATCCATATGCCTACAAGGAAGACCAATTAATACTACTATAATTCAAATTTAAGCACCAAACACAAAAGACAGTGATGATGAAATTGAATTCTACCAGCTTCTTCAGTCTGAAATTGATTAAACATGCAATCAAAATCTGTTGATAATTACTGGTAATTGGAATGCAAAGGTTGGAAACAGAGGAAGGATCATTCATTGGAAAATAAAGCCTTGTTGATAGAAATGATGCTGGAGATCGCATGATAGAATTTTGCAAGACCAATGACTTCTTCATTGCAAATACTTATTTTCAACAACATAAAAAGTTAAGCTATACATGGATCACCAGATGGAATACACAGGAATCAAATTTACTACATCTGTGGGAAGTGACAGTGGAAAAGCTCAATATCATCAGCCTAAGCAAGTCTAGGGACTGATTGGAACAGATCATCAATTAATCCTATGTAAGTTCATGCATAAGCTGAATAAAATTAAAACAACTAGAGCCAAAATATGACCTTAAACATATCCCACCTGAATTTTGAGAGCATCTCAAACATAGATTTGATGCATTAGACACTACTGAACGAAGACCAGAAAACCTGTTGGATGACATCAAGAACATCATACAAGAAGCAAAAGGTCATTAAAAAGTCAGGAAAGAAAGAAAGAAAGACAAAAATGAATGTCAGAAGAGACTTTCAAACATGCTTTCCTGTGTAGAAATGCATTAAGTCAAAGAGCAGAACAGAAAATTTCAAAGAGCAGCTCCAGAAAACAAAGTTAAGAGTATTATAATGAAATGTGTAAAGACCTGGAGTTAAAAAACCAAAAGGGAAGAACATGTTCAGCATTTTTCAAGCTGAAAGAACTGACAAAATTCAAGCCTCAAATTGCAATATTGAATACTTATATGGGCAAATTATTGAATGGTGCAGAAAGCATCAAAAGAATATGGAGGGCATGTACAGAGTCTCTGTACCAAAAAGAAATTACAGTTGTTCAACCACTTCAAGACATAGATGATGAAAAACCGATGGTACTGAAAGAACAAGACTCCAAGAATTGATGGAATACAAATTGAAGTCTTTCAACAAACTGATGCAGCACTGGAGACACTGAAATTTTGAAGACAGCTATGTGGCCAGCCAGTTGGAAGAGATCCACATTTGTGCCCATTCCAAAGAAAGGAGACCAACAATGCAGAAGTCATCAAACAATAATATCACATGCAAGAAAATTTTTGAAGATAATTTAAAAATGGCTGAAAGAAATTCAGCCAGAATGCTCCTTAGAAGCCAAGAGACTGTGTCTCTTATACTTTGGACATGTTATCAGGAGGGACCAGACCCTGAAGAAAGAGCAGTTCCTGGAGGAGGACATCATGCTTCGTAAAGTGGATGGTCAGTGAAAAAGAGGAAGATCCTCTAATGAGATGGATTGGCATAGTGGCAGCAGCAATGGACTTGAAACAACAATTGGGAGAATGGTGCAGGACTGGGCAGTGTTTTGTTCTGTTATGCATAGGGTCGCAATGAGATGAACCCACAGAATAGCACCTAACCACCACAATAACAATGAACATTCTTGTAAATACATAATTTTATACTCTTCTGCTTACATCTGTAGAATGATTTTCTAATAGTGAATTGCTGGGTCAAGAGTTCAGCATGCTATATATTCTGGTATATACTTCCATACTTCTCTAAAGAAAGGTGGTACCAATTTACCCTTCCTGTAGAGAGAGATTAAGTGAGTCCTTGTCACTGACATTACTAAGTAGTTTTCTCTAGCTTTCTATTAAGCCAATTGCATAGAATTCACTCCCCCCCCCCCATAAATTCTGATCTCCCAGCACCCCTACTGATCTTGGTTGGTTGTTTTCAGTACTTAAGTCTTTTTAAATCCTTAGGTGTTGTCTTCTATTAGATCTTCTGTGTTTTCTATTTGTCTTCTGTGTTTTCTCTTTCTCTCTAGGACTCCTGCTAGCCAGATGTTAGACCTTAGCTTTGGATCCTGGGAAATTTTCCTTCACTTTATCTTCAAGTTCTGTTGAATCTTGTATTTAGACATTCTTGGAGTCCTCAAGAGTGCTTTCTTCTTTGTTTCTACATCATCTCATACCTAAATTTTTGTCGAGTCCAAGTTAGAAATGTTTTCTCTTCTGAATTATCTCTCTTTATTTTGGGGCTGTTTGTATTGTTTTATCTTGTTCCTTTTGTTTCATAGTTGTGATTTTCCTCATGTCTAACAATCTTAATTTGGTTATTTCTACTTAAGAATAAACTGCTGTGTTGACTATTGTAGGTGTGTGTCATGGGACTGCTCTTCCATGCTATCTGTAGCTATATTTTCCTGACAGGTTATTTTTTTTCCTAGAATAGGGGCAGGGGATTTTGACTGGCAAATCTCACTTTAGGAAATTGGGCAAAGACCAGGTCCTGCCAAATGCCAGAATCAAGGGAATTTCTTCTTTGGACTGTCCTCTCTCTTTTATTCCTCAGCCTTAACCTTGTCAAAGATTTATCTACTTTACTTAACTTTCAAACATACCTTTTGACTTCTGGAGTCATTTCTGCTATTTCATATTTTTTGTTTTTACTCTTAATTTATTCTTATGTTTTTAATTTTTATTTCTGCCTTCTTGATTTAAATGTTACATGATGTCAGGTCAATTCTGACTCATAGCAACCCTATATAGGGTTTCTGAGGAGTGGCTGGTGGGTTTGAACTGCCAGCGTTATGGTTCTAAGTCCTGTACTGATCCTTCAATGCCATACCAGGAGTCCTCTTGATTTGAATGCATCAACATTTGTCAACTCATTAACAAATTTTTATTCATCTGTGTCTACCCACACTGCCTTCCTCCTGAGTTATTTGCAAACTAATCCCAGACACAATATAGTTTCATCTGTAAAAACTTCAAAACTTATCTCTAAAATGTAAAGGATGATTTAAAAAAAAAAAAAAAGCAAAAGCAAGACCATATGGAAGAAAATTTATAGGAACTTTAAAATGTCATTAATTGTTCTTTATATTCTAATGAATGCACTAGAGAGTAGAGATTTATTCATTTGTGGATCTAATATTTATTGTATACATGTATATGAAGACTTTTGTATATATTCTTATTCCTTAGGAATAAAAAAGTTGTTGTTAGGTGCTGATTAGTCTATTCCAACTCATAGTGACCTTATGCACAACAGAACGAAACACTGCCCAGTCCTGCACCATCCTCATAATCATTGTTAAGCTTGAGCACATTGCTGCTGCCACTGTGCCAATCCATCTTGTTGGAGGTCTTCCTCTTTCTTTGCAGGCCTTCCACTTTACCAAGCATGATGTCCTTTCTCCAGGGACTGGTTCTTCCTGATGATATATGTCTGATGATATATGTCTGAAGTATTAGAGACAAAATCTCACCATCCTGTCTTCTAAGGAGCATTCTGGATGTACTGCATGCCACAGAGATTTTTTCTTCTAGTAGTCCATGGTACTTTTAATCTTCAGCACTGTAACTCAAATACATCAATTCTTCTATGATCTTATTCATTTTCCAACTTTCACATTCATATGAAGCTATTAAAAATACCATGCCTTGGGTCAGGCATACCCTAGTCCTCAAACTGACATCTTTGCTATTGAACACTTTAAAGAGGTCTGTGCAGATTTACCTAATGCAATACATCATTTAATTTCTTGACTGCTGTTTCCATGAGTGCTGATAGTGAATCCAAGCAAAGTGAAGTCTTTGACAACCATTCACTATCCCCTCATTTTAACAATTGCCTCTTGGTCTATGTACAAGTTCCTCATAAGCACAATTAAGTGTTATGGAATACTCAGTCTCCACATTGTTGTCCATAGCTAATTATGATCCACACAGTCAAAAGCCTTTGCATGGTCAGTAAATCACAGGTAAACATATTTCTGGTATTCTCTGCTTTCAGCCAAAATCCATCAGACATCAGCAATAATAGCCCTCATTCCATGGCCTCTTCTGAATCTGGCTTGAACCTCTGGAAGTTCTCTGTCAATGTATGCTTGCAGCCGTTTCTGTATTACCTTTAGTAAAAGTTTACTCACATGGGATATCAAAGAAATTGTCCGATAATTTCCTCATTCCATTGGGTCACCTCTCTTTGGAATGGGCACAAATGCGGATCTCTTCCAATCAGTCGGCCAGATAGCTGTCTTCCAAATTTCTTGGCAGAGATGATGGCCTCTTGTGCCACCTCAATTCCTGGTGCCTTGTTCTTTGCCAATTCCTTCAGTGCACCTTGGACTTCCTCCTTCAATATCATTGGCTCTTGATCATATGCTGCCTCTTGAAACGGTTGTGAACATTAACCATTTTCTTTTGGTACAATGACTCTGTGTATTCCTTCCATCTTCTTTTGATGCTGTCTGCATCATTCAGTAATTTGCCCAGAGACTCTTTCAATTTTGAAATTCGAGGCTTGAATTTTTTCTTCAGTTCCCCCAGCTTGCGAAATGCTGAGCGTGTTCTTCCTTTTTGGTTTTCTGACTCCAGATCTTTGCATATTTTGGTGTAATATATGGCTTTATCTTCTTGAGCTGATTATTGAAATTTTCTGTTCAGCTCTTGGACCTCCTCATTTCTTCCATTTGCTTTAGCATCTCTACACTAGAGAGCAAGTTTCACTGTTTCTTCTGATATCTATTTTGATCTTTTCCTTCTTTCTTGTCTTCTTAATGACTTTTTGCTTTCTTCATGTATGGTGTTCTTGATGTCATCCCACAACTCTTCTGGTCTTTGGTCTTTAGTGGTTAATGTATCAAATCTGTTCTTCAGATGATCTTTAAATTCAGGTGGAATATAGTCAAGGTCATATTTTGGCTCTTGTGGACTTGTTTTCATTTTCTTCAGCTTCAGCTTGAATTTGCATATGAGCAATTGATGGTCTGTTCCACAGTCTGCCCCTGGCCTTGTTTTGCCTGATGGTATGGAGCTTTCCATCGTCTCTTTCTGCAGATGTAGTCAATTTTATTTCTGTGTATGCTGTCTAAAGAAGGTATTTGAAATGAACAAATCATTGATTTTGCAGAATTCTATCATGCGATCTCCAGCATCATTTCTATCACCAAGGCCATTATTTTCTAACTACTGATCCTTCCTCTTTGCTCCCAACCTTTGCATTCCAGTCACCAGTAATGATCAATACATCTTTTAGTCTTGTAAAATTCTGTCATGGGATCTCCAGGCTCGTTTCTATCACTATGGCCATTATTTTGCAACTACTGATCCTTCCTCTTTGTTTCCAACCTTTACGTTCCAATCACCAGTAATTATCAACAGATTTTGATTGCATGTTTAATCAATTTCAGATTGAAAAAGTTGGTAGAATTCTCAATTTCATCATCACTGTCTTTAGTGGGTGATACATAAATTTGAATAATAGTGGTATTAACTGATGTGCTCTTTATGTGAATGGATATTATCCTACTTCAAGTCAGATCTTGAAATGTTCTTTTTTTTTTTTTTTTGAGAAATATGATGCCATTCCTCTTAAATTTGACATTGTTGGCATAGTAAAACCATGATTGTCAGATTCAAAATGGCCAATTCCAGTCCATTTTAGCTCACTAATGCCTAGGTTATCAATGTATATGCCTTCCATTTCATTTTCGGCAACTTCCAACTTTTTTTATTCATACTTGGTACATTCCATGCTGCAATCATTCACGGATGTTTACAGTGGTTTTTCATTTTGAGTTGTGTGACATCAGCAAATGAGGGTCCCAAAAGCTTTACTCTATTAGCATCATCACGATCAACTCTACTTTGAAGAGGCAGCTCTTCTCCAGTTGTATTTTGAGTGCCTTCCAACCGTAGGCATTCATTTTCCAGCACTATTATCTGACACTATTCCAGTGCTATTCAGAGGATTACAGTATTCAATATTCTGGTGTTGTCTGACCATATTCCACTGCTATTCATAAGGTTTTCAGTGGTAAACATTCAAAAAGTAGTCCACCTCTCCTTCCAAGGCTTAATCTAGAAGCTCAGGTAGATCCTGTCCACTATGGGTATTTAAAATACCTGTGGTGTTTAAATGCTGCTGGTATTTAAAATACCCATGGCTTAGATTTCAGCATCATAGCCACACAAGCCACCACAGTATGACAAACTGCCAGACAAGTGGAAGAATGAGAATAAGTAGATGGAAGGGCATAGAATTTTCACCTGTCAGCTTCCCCATCCCCAGTCTTGAATTCCAGTAGAAGTGTCCTGAGGTAGAGACAGATTGGACAGTCCTTAAAATGCCGCCATTAAAAAAATGAAAGCTGGTAAATTAAAACTTCTTATGTGTTGTCAAGTCGATTTCGATTCATAGCAACCTATAGGGCCTTACTGGGTTTTCTAGGATGTAATCTCTATGGGAGCAGATCCTAGGTAATTTCTTCCATGGTGTACCTGGTGGTTTCAAACAGCTAACCATTTGGTTACTAGCTGAGCACTTAACCATTGCATCACTGAGGTTCCTTAAACTAAAGTAGTTAAAAGAATCAAATTTGGTGACTTGGTAATCCATAATCAGCTGTTCAGTGTTGGTTTTGAGTGCACTGACCTGGTTATTTCTTCACAAAACAAATCTCATGTCTTCTTTGCTTTTTTAAAAAAATATTTTATTGTTCTTTTGGTGAAAAATTACATAGTAAATCGGGTTCACATTTAACAAGTTCACCAACTGTTCAGTGACATTGGTGACATTTTTCACAATGTGTCAGTATTCTCCTTGATTTCATTCTGGCTGTTATGTTTCCAGCAGTCTCGTTTTCATGCCCCTTACCTTCTTCTCCAGGAGCTGTAGTAGCTTAGTGGTTATGAGTTGGGCTGCTAACCTCAAGGTCAGTAGTTAGAGATTACCAGCCGTTCTGCAGGAGAAAGATAAGGCTTTCTGCTCCCGTAAAGATTTACAGCCTGAGATTTACAGGGTCGCTATGAGTCGGAACTGACTCCACGGCACACCACCACCACCTTCTCATGTTTGCTTTGGAGTGACCATTTGGTCTCACTTAAATGATTATTAAAGGGAGTTCAGTACTTATTTTCTAAGCCTTGAGTGTAAGGGAGGGTGGGATGCCCTGCCCTCAGCTACTCATCATGGGAGATGGCCCTGAGGGTCTAATATCCCATGTGTTACCCCACCTTCTGGTGCACCTAATGCCTCAAAGTCCTGAGGCTTTCTACTTTCTAGAGACTTGTTAAAGTCTCTCGTTGTCTGATCTGTTTTCTCTCTATCTTTGTGTCTTTCTGGGTTGATACTTGTTCACAATTCCTTTACTGTCATTTGTCTGTGGTTGTAGAAGAGAGAGGAGGCAAATCTGTGTTATCAACCCTCCATTCTTTCACTGGAAGTCAGCTGAACTGATTTTAAAATCCCCTTCTGTTTGTTTCATAAACTTAGTTTCCTTGGATCTTAGTTCTGTTTGTTGACTGTGATGACACTCTGTGGGGCTTCACAGTCTTTCCTTTCTTCTTCTCCTGGTTAACTTACTCAAAAAAGAAAGAAACAAAGAAAGATAAAGGTTTAGAACCTATGTTGTAGTTACGTGCCGTCGAGTTATTTCCAACTCATAATGACCCTGTTTAGGGTTTCCAAGGAGCAACTGGTGGGTTTGAACTGCTGACCTTGTGGTTCGCAATCCAATGCTTATCACACCAGGAGTCCCAGGTGCTTAAAAAACCATGGGAAAAAGTGAAATAAAAAAATCATGGAATTCTTCCACAAACTTTTGGAACCCCCCTCATATTTATCTATCAGTGTAAAAAGGGCTACATAAATTCTTTCTGGAATAAGGCAGGTGGTGGGTGAATAAATGGGGGAATGATGGATGAAATATATCCATTTAGTTTCTCCCCATCAGAGTTAAGATCTTTCATAGTCCCTTGCCCAGGTTTCCATCAGAGCATGTAGCAGCGTGTCTTTTCAGCATCCGTTTTAGTGTGTCAATCCCCCTCACTTCTCTTGGTGTTCATATTTCTCACCTACAAAATAGAAGAAGTAGTTTAATTGGGGCCTGTAAGGTGTTGGAGAGAAGGAACTATCCTCTCGCTGACTCACGACAGCTGCAGATAGCTCCCCACACTCCTAGACCTCCACATCATCCCTCCTAACCCCTTGGGTCTCCAACATCCTAGGGTTTGTCCTGTTGTTACCACCTTGGTCACAGGGGCAGCTGGGCAGGCAGGTATGATCTACAGTCCTTTGCAGGGTCAGGAGCTCCTTGGGGTCTGGGTGAGACCCAAGAGGTCTGAGCTGAACATGGAGCCAGATAGACACTGAGGTGTGGGGCAGTGATGTGTCCTGAGGTAGGGACTCTAGTGGGAACCTGAATGAATGAGTGAATGCATTTGGTAGTGGATGGATGGTTGGAAGAGTGGATGAGTGAATAAATAAATTGGTGATTGAGTGAATGGTGAATGAAAAGAAGAATGAATGGATATATGGATTACAGAATTAATGGGAGAGAATGAACTGAGTGCTTGAATGGGGAAGCCAGTGATGAATGTACTGGTAGCTGTGGGATGGGGATGTCTGAGGAGATTGATTCTTCTCCAACCTGTTCTCATCCACCCCACCTCTTTTCCTCTGCCTCCAGTATCTTGTATTTTTCCATCCACCGCTATCAGCAGAGCCAGTTCTGGCCTCACCTTAAGGCCTCTAACTGGTCTGCCACAGGCTTCGGCCGAGGCCAGGGATACAACATCAATGTGCCTTGGAACCAGGTAAGTGTCTGCATACTCTGTCCTCACAGTATGTCCATCCTAACCTTCAGCCAGTCCAGACAGTTGATATTGGCTGACTGACCCCATCATTGCCTCTGTCTTCAGGTGGGGATGCGGGATGCCGACTACATTGCTGCTTTCCTGCACATCCTGCTGCCAGTCGCTCTTGAGGTTATGGGGGCCTTAGTTAGGGACAGGGCAATAGGGAGGGGTGGACCATGAGAACTGGGACCTCATGTAGTTCATTCTTTCCTCAGTTCCATCCCCAGCTGATCCTAGTGGCTGCTGGATATGATGCCCTCCAAGGGGACCCCAAGGTAAGACAGGCTCTCTGGGGTGGCAGGTGGGCATAGGAGCTGCAAGAAACCAGGTTAACACTTCATGCCTCTCAGGGAGAGATGGCTGCCACTCCAGCAGGGTTCAGTCACCTGACCCACCTGCTCATGGGTTTAGCAGGAGGCAAGCTGATCCTGTGTCTGGAGGTAAGTGACACACCATTCCCCAGCTGTCCTCATCACCACCACATTTGTCTTAGCCTGTGGATTCTGGAGCACTTAACACTCCAAAGTCTGGTTCCTAGTAAGGGTTTTGATTTCAGCATTTCCACTTACTAGCTCCATGACCTGACATAAGCTTCTCTTATGTAAAGCAGACCTAATGAATAATCACTGTCGCTGTAGGTCATTTCAAGTGAACTGATGTTTCTTTGTGACTTGACATGTAGTATGCCCCTTTTGCTTATTTCCTTTGAAAGTCTGATCCTTAACTGACCCCCTCACAACTCCTCCTTCCAGGGTGGCTACAACTGTCAGGCCCTTGCTGAGGGTGTCAGTGCCTCACTCCACACACTTTTGGGAGACCCTTGTCCCATGCTGGTGGCCCCTTGTGCCCCATGTTTGAGGTGAGCCTAAGTGGAGGAGTGAGTTACCAGGACTGGGACATAACTGCTCTCCCCATCCCCCCCAAGAGCCACTGCATCCATTCTCTTCCCCTGCCCTCTAGTGCCCGAACTTCGATCTCCTGCACTCTGGTAGCCCTTGAGCCCTTCTGGGAGGTCCTTGTGCGATCTGGTAGGAAGTGGGAATTGGGCTTGGTGTGGAGGGTTGAGCATGAAGTGAGTGGTGGGGTCAACCCTCTTCTAGACCCCTTCTGACTCTCCTGGACCCCTTTGGTAAGGGAGGCTCAGGCCCTTTTTTTCTGGGATCTGGAGTATTGTGTGGACTGAGATGGGAGAGTTAGGGTGAATGTGACCTCCCCTTATAGCTGAGACCTTTGAGGACGACAAGATGGAGAAGGACAAGGAGGCGGGGCCCTTGGAGCCCTCTACACCCAGAATCCTAACCTGGCCGGTGACTCATGCTCGCACAGGGCTGGTCTATGACCACCGAATGATGAGTCACTACAACATATGGGACACGTATGTAGTCTGAGGGTCAGGATAAGTGGGTGTGGGGTTCCCTATCCCGCTTCTCAAGCCTTGAAACTGCACCTCTTGATCCCCCGCTACTTCCAGCCACCACCCTGAGATGCCCCAGCGCCTCTCACGAATTGTGCGCCATCTGGAGGAGCTGGGCCTCATTGGGCGCTGCCTTATCCTGTCTGCACGCCCCGCCACAGATGCTGAGCTGCTTACTTGTCACAGGTCACACCTTCCCCTTCGTGTCTGAATGGATTGGGGTCTGTGGGCTAGAGCCTGGGGTTTCCTTCACAGGGCACAACAGTATTGAGTACACAGAGCTGCTGTTGCACCCAGGAGGGGCTGACACCGCCTCACCCTCTTTTTTTTTTTTACATTTTTAAAGATGATTTTTAATAATTAACTCTAATACTATCACACACATAGAGTTTAATCTATTTTCCATAGTCATAACTTATTTATTACATATCTAGATATAGATACATATTGATATACAGATAATATGAATTTGCATACATGTATGTATAGGGAACACAGTTGCTCCATAGGATAAGCACTGGACTGCCAACCACAAGGTTGGTGGTTTGAACCCACCACCTGAGCTCCACATGAGAAAGATGAGGTTTTCTGCTCCCACAAAGATGTATAGCGTCAGACACTATACAGGAAGCCTATGAGTTGGGTTTGACTTGACGGCACATGTATGTAAATACACATACATCTCTCCTCTCTCTCTCTCTCACTATATACATGTATGTATTGTAGTGGTGATTATGTGCCATGGCCGCCTCACCTTCTTGGTGCTTGATTTCTCACCTGTGGTGCTTTTCTCTATGCCTCCAGTGCTGAGTACGTGGCTCGTCTGCGGGCCACAGCGAGCATGAAACCCCGCGAGCTACACCGTGAGGGTGCCAACTTTGACTCCATCTACATCTGCCCCAGCACCTTCTCCTGTGCTCAGCTTGCCACTGGTGCTGTGTGCCGCCTAGTAGAGGCTGTACTCCATGGAGAGGTGTGTCTGTGGCATGGGCCACAGACTAGGGAGGGGAGTTGCGGGGGAATGGACAGAGGTGGCTCTTGGAGACTTGCACAGGAAATGAGGAAAAGGAGGTATGAGGAGGACTAGAACAGGCATGGGGGATCCTCTGTTCCCTAGAGAGGTACATCCAGAGGAGATGGAGAATGCAGGGGTTGGTTGGGAGGCAAGGAAAGGGGTCCCTAGCATCTGGTGGAGAGAGAGGAGGGAAGAGGAGAAACAAGGGGAGAGAAAGTGGTGAGGGATGATGATGATCTTAGCTCCCTTCTCTTCTCCCAGGTACTAAATGGTACTGCAGTGGTGCGCCCCCCAGGACACCACGCAGAATGGAATGCAGCTTGTGGTTTCTGCTTTTTCAACTCAGTAGCTGTGGCTGCTCGCCATGCCCAGACCATCAGTGGGCATGCCCTGCGGTGAGGGCTCCCTGTGTACCCCCAAATACTGGCACCTGGTGGGACCTGGCAAACCTCAAACCTAGCCCAGCAAGCCAATAGGCCCAGGGGTCTCACCCCCAGAATTTACCCAGAAACAACCAAGGGTCCAATTCATGTAACATATTACCCAGCTAGGACCAAGGATTGAACTTTTCAGTGCTTACCCATATAGGAACCCCAGCTTGGGATACATTGGTGCTTATAAAGCAGGATCCAGGTTCTAGTGCCCATCTGTTTGGCCTCTAGAAGTTATTCAAGCAGAACTCAGGGTCCAGCCCTCAGCACTTAACCAAGTCCAGAGTGAAGCCCTCAGGACCTAGACCTGACTTTCTAGGACCTAGGACCCAGAAGTCTGACACCCAGCACTTTCCCCAAAAGCTCCCAGGTCCTGCCACCAGCACTAAATACCCCAACTAAATATACCAACTCAGGGGGCAACGTTTGTCCTAAAGAGCTGTTCCCTCCTCCCCCAGGATCCTGATTGTGGATTGGGACATCCATCATGGTAATGGAACTCAGCACATGTTTGAGGATGACCCCAGGTGAGGGACTGGGGTAGAGGTGTGGCCAGGGAGGTAGGCAGGCCATGCCTCAGGAATCCTGGGGACCCACAGGGGCAAGACAGCTGCCAACCAGCCATGGCCTCCTTCCCCATCCCACAGCGTGCTCTACATATCCCTTCACCGCTACGATCATGGCACCTTCTTCCCTATGGGGAATGAGGGTGCCAGTAGCCAGACTGGCCATGGCCCTGGCATGGGCTACACTGTCAATGTGGCCTGGAATGGGCCCCGCATAGGTGACTCTGACTACCTGGCTGCCTGGCATCGCCTGGTGCTTCCCATTGCCTATGAGGTATGACTCGGTGGGTAGGTGACATGACTGTGTGGGATAGGAGGGACCATATGATCCTGCCTTCTCAGTGTGTGTGTCTGAATACCAGCCTGTGGTTTCTTGATAGCTGAGGTGAGGGGGTGTGACTCTGTGATGACCTTTGTTTACTTATCTGATACGCACAGATGCTGTATATATACTTGTGTGTGTGTGATATGTGAGACTCTTGAATGTGTGTGTGTGAGAGAGAGAGGCTGTCACCACCCTTTTTTTTTTTTTACAATGGGTAGGATACTGCATATCACTGTATGTTGCTATTCCAGTGACTGTGTGGGACTTTTTGTAGGTGGGGGTACTATGTGACAGCCACCTATGTGGGTACCTACAAAACAGGCTACTGATGGATTAACTTTCCCCATTATCATTTAATCGTGAACACCCGTGAAAGCTTGTAAACCAGGCATTTCATGCCTTATCATTCCTTATTTTTCATACCAGCTTCTAAACTGCCCATCTCTATTAACCTAGTCCTCTGAGGAGACAAAACATTTCCTTGTAAAGAATCATCAGTCGTTGGAACTTTAGGCACTTGCATTCATAAGCAAAGTCCAGTCCACAGCAAGCCATCAAAGTTGTTGCAATTTACACTAGCTCAAACACCTTTTTCTTTATTCAGTGGGATTCTGGTGAATTCAGCCCTAGCCATTCTCACTAAGTCTCATGGGTACCAGCTACAAGCTTGGGAGTCCATATACTCCTCCCTGCACTTCAGACCAGCTTGCCCCTTCCCTCACTCACTCTCAGGGCTAGATCAGTGCCTGTAGGCTCAGGAGTCCATACAACTCCCTAAACTTCAGATCAGCCAGCTCTTCCTCTCCTCTCAACTCATTTCTTCATTGCTACATTCTCACCCACTTCCACTCGTCAAGTGGACCCAGGTGATCACCAGTGAACTGTCTGCCGACTCCCTTTAACTTCTAGTGTTAGAATGGGGTTTGCTCTGATGGGCTCAGACTGTTTTCTGCCTTGATGCATCCAACACCAAACTACTTGCTTGGAATTCAAAATGCTAGTCATTTTTCTTTCTCCAAGTCTTTAAATATAAATCTCTTGTTCTCTCAGTAGTTTGGGGTGGGGCTAAGGTTTCCATCTAATCCCCTTACTCTATACATAAGCTACTGGCTTAAAATAAAGCCTGTTTCTTCTGGGCAATTCCTAACTCCCCTTTTAGCATATCCAATCAAGTATAGACTTACACACTCTGTAATCATGACCCCAAGTGACTTTTGCTCCAGGTGACTCCATACTTTCATGAATCTGGAGCCACTGCAATGAACCCTGCTTCTGACACCAACTGCCAAAAATTGAAGCATCAGTCATTCTGCCCATAGCCCTCTCTACTCAACTGGATTTGATAATCTATTACAGTGGCCACACAGAACTCAGGACACCAAACTGAACGCACAGTTAATGGACTTTATTAGGGATTTTAATTGGCTACAATTCGGGGTCAGAATACTTAGGGCACAGTTCCAGTCAGCTGCTGATAAATGTTCATAGGACGCACCACTCCACCATAAGCCTCAGCCTGAAGGCACTTGGCTCTAGCTCCCCCACTTAAGTGCCTGAACGCATCCCACTCTACAAGCAAGCTTCCTGCCCAGGTCACTCAATTGTCTTGCTCCATGGGCTGGGAAGACTTCTGCTCTATCTCATGCTCTGGTTCTAGATTCTGTTGTTGCTCCTCTGCCACTCCTCCAGTATCACAGTTTTCTATCCCTGGATCAAAGAGGTTCACTGCACAGGGAACTCAGGGTCCAAAGGATACACTGTACTCTTTGCTCTGCTTCTTTGATGGTAGTGAGATTTCCCCCTCCTGCTTCTGAGATGGCTCATTTAAAACCCAAGCTAGAGTTTCAAGTTTTTACAATGAACTCTGCTCACATCCACAGCTGAATCATGTCATCCTATCAGTATGTTCTTCCACCTTCTCTTAGCCAGACCCAGCAGATAATTAGGTAATTCACTACATCACAGTAACCATGCTGTGTGTGTCTGTGATTAATGATGGCCTGCATATATTTGTTGACTGCATTAGTGCCTGTATGTCTCCTTGTGTAAACTGTGTGTGAGGCATTTTGTGTGCCTGTATTCGTGTGAGTGACTGACTTGAGGGCAGATATATGTGATAGTTGCAGACTGCCATCACTGTGACATTGTGCTGTGTGTGTGCAAGTCTGTATGTGTGTCTGACTGTGCACAGGTGGTCATGACTACCTCTGTGTGACTGTGGAATTGTGTGTGTGACTGTGCACGTGATCCCCTCTCTGGGCCCAGCAGTGTGCATATGGCTACTGTGAGTGGGGCTGTATGTGTGCCCATACACACATGAGAATGGCTGCGTCTGTACAGGCCTGGCTTTAGATTGGCATCCCCCAGAGAGACACTGTCGGTGCATGACTAGTGTTGATGTGGAGTTGTGCTCTGTGTAGGACAGTCTGCTTGTGTGTGGGTATGTGTGGTTGCATGGGACTGTCTTCTCTTGGTGTGACACTTATATTGTCATCTTCTGTGAATGAGAGTGTGCTTGTGCCTCTGTTTTGGCACCATATGTAAAACCATGCATCTTGTGCATGTGAGTCCCACATGTGACCCAGGGAAAGGAAGTGCACATCTTGTGGTCTCCCCTTGGGGAGTGTGGGTGTGTGAATATATCACTGTCTCTCTGTGATTCATGTCACCTTCTCTGGATGCATGACTCTCTGTCCCCCATCTCTACCTATCTCTCATGTTTACATGTCTCTCTGTCATGTCTCTAAGTCCATGTCTGGTATGTCAGTTTTTTGCTGTCTATGTCTCCTCTCTTACAATCTGGTGCCGCTGAGTCTGTTTCTTGTGTCTCAGTGTCCTCCCTTTCCTTGTTGTCAGTCTCTAGGCCCCATCTTTCATTCAGTCCCCTTGTCTTTTCTTCTCCTTGTCTTCATGTCTGGTCTCACGTCTCCACTTGTCTGTGTCTAATGTCTCTGACTATCTGTGTGATTGTGTCTCTATCACTGACTGCCTATGGCAGCCCCCATCTCATTGTACCCATTTATCTCTTCTCTCCCTGCCTCAGTTTAACCCCGAACTGGTGCTGGTCTCTGCTGGCTTTGACGCCGCACGGGGAGACCCCTTGGGGGGTTGCCAGGTGTCACCTGAGGGCTATGCTCACCTCACCCACCTACTGATGGGCCTTGCCAACGGCCGCATTATCCTCATCCTAGAGGTAACTCTACTGGCTTTCTGCCCTCTATGGGAGGGTAGTTTGGGAGACTTGGTGTCCTGCCCTATAGGCTGGCTGCATCTTAGGGCAATTTTCTAAAATCTTCTTTGTGAAGCATCTTCTCACCTCTTTTAAAACTTGACAGTGATGGTCCCCACCTAGGATAATTGGCATATACAAGGTACTTTAACCCCCCAGCCCCTAAGGAGTTTCCCTTCTCTTTTCCTTAACACAGGGTGGCTATAACCTGACATCTATCTCAGAGTCCATGGCTGCCTGCACGCGCATCCTCCTTGGAGACACGCCACCTCTGATGGCCCCTCTGCGACCCCCGTTATCAAGGGCTCTGGCCTCAATCTCTGAGACCATCCATGCCCATCGCAGATACTGGAGTAGCTTGCAGATCAAAAGTGAGTGAGCATGGAGACTTGGGGGCAATGAGGGACACAGGGAAAGAGAGGACTCGAAGGGTCAAGAAATAGAGGCAGAAAAGGGGATAGCACTCATACTCAAGGATCTTCTTCCCACTGTTTCAGAGGTAGAGAATGATGAGCCAGCCACCAAGGAGGAGTTTCAACAAGCCAGTCCTGGGTCAGCCAAGGGGAAGGCCACACCAAAAGATAACATTCTAGAAGGCACGGGGAAGGTTATATTAGCATCTGTGGAAGAGTCTTCTCCAGGCCATGTTAAATCAGAGACACCTATGGTGGAACCCACTCGAGACCAATCCTTGGAGGCAGCTGCTAACAGGTCAACGCTGGACCAGACAACCTCAGAGGGGACAGTGGGGGACACCAAGTTAGCTTCGTGCAATGACAAGCAGACCCCTGTATCCTCACCTTTCCCGGGGACCATGCCTCATACATCCCCCAGTAACCTGATTGGGAGTCTTAAGACCATGGTACTGAGTGAAAAGACTGAGGTAAGGCCCACAATACCCAGGCAAAGGAAAGAAGGGGGCAAGAATCGAGCCTCTCTGGTACCTCTCTTGCTTCTGTATGTCCAGGAAGCCCCAGATTCTCAGACCCCAGATGAGGAGAAGCTACTAGGAGAAGCAGCAGGAGGTCAGGACCTGGCTGATTCCATGTGGACGGGTTTTAGGGACAGTGACGAGGTGAGATCAGGGAGAAGCTGATATGACGGCTTCCTTCTCTTGCCCACCTGTGTCTCCATGTAGGCACATGTGGTGTAGGAATTTCCAGTGGAGAGATGTGATTCCCATTTTACTCATTTTTATCTACTCCAGGCCGAATTCTATGCTGTGACACCACTGCCCTGGTGTCCCCATTTGATGGCAATATGCCCCACACCTGCAACAGGTCTAGATATGACGCAACCCTGTGGGGACTGTGGAAGCCTGCAGGAGAATTGGGTGTGTCTGTCTTGCTATCAGGTAAGGAGCTGAGGAAGGAGACAAGGTGTAGTTTGACCCAGGAAAAAATTCCCAGGTGGGTACTGCCAATCTGCCTAACACCCATCCCTCAACTTTAGGTCGGCTGTAGTCGTTACGTCAATGCCCACATGATCCGACACCATGAAGTCTCAGGACACCCATTAGTCCTCAGCTTCATCGACTTATCTACCTGGTGTTACCACTGTCAGGCCTATGTTCACCACCAGGTGGGCCCTGAGCAAACCCTTGAATGCATGCATACTCTGCCCCCTACACAAATACTTTCCCTGGTTGAATAAGGGTAGACTGAAGACCAATCTACTTGGCTATTTCATGTGATTATTTTGGTGTGTTTGGTGTGGGGGCGATTGGGTGTTTGAGGGAGTGGGCTTAGGTAGAGGGTCCTTGCTCTTACCTATCCTGTTTTTCCCTCCTCTCCAGGCTCTCCTAGGTGTGAAGAATATAGCCCACAAGAACAAGTTTGGGGAAGACATGCCTCAGCCACACTAAATACCAGAATGTATTCTATGTTTTCTACCTTTTGAGTTCCAAGATAGACCAGCCTTAGTTCTTTCCAACCTGTACCTTGGATGAGGGGTTGTTGTTATGTGCCGTGGATTCGGTTCCGACTCATAGCGACCCTGTACAGGGTTTCCGAGGCCGTAAATCTTTACGGTAGCAGAAAGCCTCCACTTTATCCCGCGGAGCGACTGGTAGTTTCGAACTGCTGATTTTGCGGTTCGCAGCCCCATTCAGAACCACTACACTACCGGAACTTCTTTGGATGAGGCATAGCCCCTCATGTAATCCCATCCTGAATACTCTTTACGACACCCGAAAGGTGCTTATTTAAGTGTAAATACTGTTAAGAGAACTGCAGTGACAAACTGTACATCTCCTTTTGCCCAAGCTGCTTGAAGGGCTCCAACTACTCCCCCCAGAGGAAAAGGACAGCAATTCACTGTCCTCGAAGGGGGACTGATACATCAAGATGATAAGCTTGTAGGGAGGGAGGGTCCTACTTGCATTTATGGTGGGATTGCATACGTAATAAATGCGAGCTGTTACAAAATCTGGGAAAACCTTTAACTTTGAGTGAGTGGAGAATGCCACATTCTGGGCCTCAGGAGGCATGAGTATGAAGGAATATGGGAGTGGATCTACTTCAAGTCAACCCCCTGCCCATCCATTGCACCTCAAAAATCTAACCGAAAACAGAGCGAGCAGGCTGACTGAGTCCACTAGAGATTAAATGGTGGAATCCAGGAGAAACTTGTGCCTTCTCAGCCACACCATGGCGGAAAGGCAGGGAAACTATTTAGAAGTTTCCTTAAAAGGCCTCAGTTCCCCAAGTGTCTGGTTGTTGTGATTGGGGGATGGGTGTTCAGGTTTAACATACCTGGGTGTCGTGGTCATGGGAGTTTCCCAGGGAAAGATGGACAATTGAAGGACAATTTTGGGGTTTTATTTCTCCCACATAATGAACTGTTTGGGCAGCTCAAGGAAGTCATGGCTGAGGTTTCTTGGCCGTTTCTTCATGGCCACTTATAATCCCAAGAGAGTCACCAAAGCCTCAGCCATTCACTCAGGAATGAGGGAAACGGAAGGGTCAGAGAGCTATGGCCAGCTGAGGCAACCCCCTTACAAGGAACACTCTGGATGCCCTACTCAGGAGCTGCTTGCATCTTATTGGCCTGAACTGTGTCACATGACAGCCATAGCTGTTTAGGAAATTTCTTAGGGAGACACGAGTTTACCTCATAAAATCAGATTCTTTCTATTGTGATAGAATAACCTCTGTCCTGCAACGATTTCCCTCTAAGTATGTATATAACCTCACTGCTGCTGCCAAAAATGCTTCCTTGAGGTGGGACGGGCTACAAAGAGGACCCCACAAAATGTTTTCCAAATTTTGGCTCCCAAGTCAAAAACTATGACCACATAGAAAATCACACCAGTCGAGCCAGGCCTTGAGTCCTCATCCACCTCAGAGTCACGCGGAGGTTGCCAACAAGAGGTGCCTGAGTGCTGAGGCACCTGCGCATGCCCACTGCATCCACACCACTGGGACAGGGGACACCTCCGCATCCTCTCAGTCGTTGCCTGGGTCCCAGTGGCCACCTCCGTGCACAAGACTGAGGTGAGCTACCTTCTAAGCTCTATCCCCATTCCTGAGGCTGTAGGTCTCTGTAAAGAGTTTGGGAGGTGTGACCATGGTCCCAAGGGCCTAAGATCCTTGGTTTGGGGGATCTTTCTGTGACTGCCTTCCAGCCTTTTACTTGCCGGATACCGCTGTGTGAGGGAAAGAAATCTGGGCGAGGGTGTCCGGCTGTGCGTGAAATGGGGGCGTTCACAGAGACGACCCTATCCCTCCTTCCTCCAGCCTCAGTCCATTCTTCCCTGGGGCACAGAAGGAGAACTGAGCAAAGTTGTCCCGACTGAGCTCCAAGTGGAGGTAGGCACATGGTCACCTCACCTGGCTTAATCTAGGAAGATGCATCTTGGGAGGCTAGGCTGAAGCAGGGCTTGTAAGGTTTCATATTTGAGGTGACCCACCACCGTTGTTGTTAAGTGCGGTTGAGTCGCTTCCGACCCATGTTGTTGTTGTTAAGTGCCATCGAGTCGGGTCCGACCCATAGCGACCCTGTACAGGGTTTCCGAGGGTGTAAATCTTTACGGGATTATATATAAATTATACTTAAAGAAATCACTTGGATTGTTAAATATGCAGATTCCGTGACGCAATAGGGTTGTTATTGTTGTTAAGTGCCATGGAGCAGGCTCTGACTCATAGTTACCCTGTATGGGGTTTCTGAGGAACATCTGGTGAGTTTGACCGACCTTGTGGTCCAGTGCTTATCCTACAGACTTGCTGCTGCTGCCATTAAATGCCATCGAGACAGTCCAACTCACAGAGATTCTATATAAGATTTCCGAGGGTGTAAATCTTTACGGGAGTAGAAAGCCTCATCTTTCTCCCACGGAGCGGCTGGTAGTTTCGAACCGCTGACCCTAAGGTTCGCAGCCCGATACGTAACCACTACGCTACCAGACCCATAGTGACGCTGTATTTCCAAGGTTTCCAAGGAGCAGCTGGTGAGCTTGAACCACCAACCCACCCCTGCGCCTGCCCATTTTCCCTGAATCCCAATCTTCCCCCCTTCACCACCCCTCAACTCCCCTTCATAGTCCAGACTATGTTGTGGGTGGGGCCACAGCGTCGCAAGGGCCCTGTGATTGCAACTCCAGTAGCACATGTGCATCCAGTGGCTCTATGTTACTGAGAAGGGGCAGTCCGTCTTCTGTTGTATCCCAGACTGCTTGTGCGACCTTGGTCAATCACTGTCATCTCTTGTCTCTGAGCTTTGCTTTTCCTCATTGATCAAAGGGGCTTGGCGATGATATCCCAGACCTCACCAGGGTTTCGTGAAGATAATGTGTGAACGTGCGGTACATGCTGAGCGCTCAGTAAATATCTGCTGTTATGATGATGGTCATCACCTTCACCTTCACATCTTGTCCATCTCAGATGATGGCACCCTCAACTTTCCAGTTGCTCAGGAGCAAAACTTAAGAGTCAACCTTGACCTTCCCCTTCCTTTTATTTCTAAGGATAAAAGTCAGTTCCACTTTAAGAATTTTTCTAGAATCCTACCTCTCCTCAACATATCCACAGTCACCACCATCATCTTCTTCCTGAATATACTGCTACAGTGGCCTCCTCATGGCTTCCGCTCTTGCTTTCTCCCCTCAGGCTATCCTAACAGCTATGTGTTCTGCCTCCGTCTGTCTTCCAAATGTTGGGACCCCTGGGGCTCTCTCCCCTATTTGCTTCTCCCCTCATTATGTGCACCCTTTTCCTGAGTGAGCACATCCGGTTACCATTTTCAGTGCTGGTATGGCATTGTATGTTAAGCAGTGGTCCAAAAGGTAGATTTGAACTACAAAGTCAGCAGTTCACACTCACCAGCTGCTCTTTGGAAATCTTCAATAGGGTTGCTATAAGTCAGAACCGACTGGACAGCACTTACCAGCAACTCTGGGCTGAGGATCTGGCAGCTGGATTTCCATCTGGGACCTTGCCTTCTTGCATTCCAAACTCAGTATAACCTCCAGATTCCAAACTTGCTCCTTCCGTTTTACTTTTTTCTTTTTTAGCTTTTTATTGTGAACAGAGTGGAGGTTTACAGAGAGATCATCTGTTTTAGGTTTCATAAAATTGCCTCATTATATGTAGTTACAATTCTCTCCATGTACCAACAGTTAACAGTATTTACCTCTATTCACTTTATTGCATTCCTCTCTGTCCTTGCTACCTTTATCTTTCCTCTGCTAACGTCCCTCTTGTTGTATACTGCCTGCCCTGTGAATAATTTCCCCTCCCCTCTCCACCCCATAACCATCATACATTGTTTCTTTTATCAAGAAAATCAGTTTTTTTTTTTAACTTTTCACAACACTGGTTGCATACATTATTTGTCCTTTTCTAATGGACTAATTTCACTCAGCATAATGTCCTCCACGTTCAACCAGGTTGTGAGATGTTTCACAAATTAGTTCTTATTCTCCAAATTTTGTAGTATTCCATTGTGTGTGTGTACCAACATTTGTTGTAGCCATTCTTGTGCTGATTTAGACTGTTTTCATCTTTTTGATGTCTCTTGTAGACAGTATATTGAACAATTTTGTTTTCTTATTCCTTCTGCTCTCTATGTCTCTTCCCCACCTCTTTCTGCAACCACACTTATGAAAGCTTGTAAGCCAGCCACTTCATGCCTTCGTAGCCCTCCCTCCCTCCCCTACACCATTTTTGGTAGCCAATGTCTAAATTTCTCATCCCTTATCAACCAAGTACACTGAGAAAACAAGGTTCTTCCTTGATATGAAGGAGCCTTCCATTCCTTTTGCAATTTTGAGTCACTACGTTCATAGGCAAAAGTTTAGTTCATCAAACTGTAGCAATTTGTACTTATTCTCAGTATCAACCATCTTTATCTACCTTGGTTCGAGTTCTGGTCAACTAGCCGTCCAAGCTAGGTCAACCATTTTACTTTTATACCAACTTTTACTTTTTTTTTTTTTAATTTTCATTGTTGTATACTTTTTTTCCCCCTTTTATCTCTTTTATTTTAATTAAAGGTTTTTATTGTGGATTGAGTGAGAGTTTACAGGGCACATCATCAGTTTCACATTCAACAATTCATATAACTTGTTTTATTACATTGATTATAATCCCCTCCATATACCATCAGTTAAAAGTATTTTTCTTTATCCACTTTAGCTTTTTTTAAAAAAACACACAAAAAAACCCACTTAGGCATATATAATAATTTACATCTCCAAAGGGCACATTCTGCAAGTCTGGTCCTGGCCACCAGTTCTTAGTCCTTCTCTTCTTAGTTGATGACTCTAGAGTCTTCAGCCATTCCCCCCTCTCCATGCCCCCATCTCTGGCACTGCTACTTCTCTGGATAAGGTCCCACATTCTATTTGTGTGTTCCTCTCTTGAT